CACACAAGTCTTATTCAGCTCTGTGTCAGATCTAAAGTTCAACCACCTTGTCGCTCTAATATCCTGGGGCCAACATGCCTACAACATCACTGCATACAATATTTCCGTTATCTTAATTACCCCATTGTCTTCAAATACTTAGACAAAGAAACCACTGCCTCTCAGATGCTTCTGTGCAGTGTTGATTTTTAAATAGTGATAAGTATCAGAGGGGTAGCCGTGTTAGTCTGAATCGGTAAAAAGCAACAGAGGGTCCTGTGGCATCTTTAAGACTAACAGAAGTATTGGGAGCATAAGCTTTCGTGGGTAAGAACCTCACTTCTTCAGATGCAAGAAGTTCTTACCCACGAAAGCTTATGCTCCCAGTACTTCTGTTAGTCTTAAAGGTGCCACAGGACCCTCTGTTGCTTTTTAAATAGTGATGACTCCTGTAATTTAGGCCAGAAAGTATACAGAACAAGGTACCAAGGGAGATTTGTACCTCTAGGAACCATCTCCAAACTTTGTTATAAAGAACATAGCCATGCAGAAGTAGGGTAGGGTGAAGCTGTGTTCCTTGATGCATTATGACTGCTTTTTGATTTCTCAGACTCACTTTTTGCAAAATTTCAAGGGCCCATTTCCCCCCCCCCCGTCCCCAGCCCCGATCAACTTAAAATGTCATAGTATTGCATACTTGAAAATTCACATTGAAATACTAGGGGAAACATCTGTGGCATCATTTATTTATGTAAAAAGAAGCCAAGAAGGATAAAATAACACACACACACACACACACACACACACACACACACACACACACACACACACGTATTATACAGAATTCACCAGGTCAGACAGGCACAGAAGCAGCCAGGGAGAAAAACACTCTGTTTCCACTACCAGATGTTACCCAGATCTCTGCCAGGTCTTGAGATGCTCAAGTTACCCATCCTGTTGTTGGGGTAAAGCAAAGGGTCAAGCATAGAGCACAGGCAGCTTCAAGGGGGACAGCTACCATATCCCTCCGCAGAATGGGAGCATGCTGTGGCCTAGGTGAGAGCGGTCTCTTGTCACCATAGGACTGCTGTCACTCAACATGAACAAGCAATGGAAGAATGCTAGACTGCATGGACCCAATCCCTAAAACTTAACAGTATTTAACTGAATGATTATTAGCTGGTTACTCTTCTTTAAAGAATGGTGGTTTGAGGGAAGAAAAGCCAGGATGAGCTACAGGCATCAGCGGTCTGTAACATGATCTCTTGCTTGTTAAAGGACAAGCACTTTCTTTACACAGATCTTTAGGCAAGAGCAATTACTGAAATGGGCAAATACATTTGGTCACAGGCTAGCAAGTTTAACCAAGTCAAAATTCCTGTGAATCAAATATTCTGCAGATACCTTAATCCTCACTTGTTTTATATGTTGGTTTAGAATTAGGATGGAAGGGGAATCAAGCTAACTGGGGCTATGCAAATCTTGCTGGTTTTTGCGTGTGAGCTGAAATGGACTGAGTGTATTTTATACTGGTTTGCAGCCCTTTATTTTTGCTTGGAGTTCCAAGTTCATCTGCAGGATATAGGTTTTTTTAAGTTTCACTATAATTGCCCTCCAGACAAGCCCTTGGAATCTTGCTGATCACCCTCTCTCTAGTTTAGGTGTCTTCTGGGATAGAACTACAGTCTGCAACACCTTTCATTCCTCTACATATGTATGAGGGGAAGGGACATGTATAGTCTGACTTCTTTGGGGTGTCCCATAGATGCAATCTAGGGGGATTTCAGAGACCAGACTGAGGTTACGTTTTATGTAGGAGCCTTTTCTTCCTCATTGCTGCTGCTGTCGGGCTACCTGTCATCTGCAAGATGCCACAGGTGTTAAAGAGGAATAGGCTAATTTGCCATGTACTTCCTTGAAGACGAGTTGGAAAAGGGCCCTCCTAAAGGCACTAGGATGGTAGGGAGGGTTGGCAGTAACTCCCTGGCAAAAGAGTTAAAGTTAAGTGTGAGGACTGTGACCTGGTGTGGGAGGATAAGAAGAAGGTAATGAGATTTCAGGTCTAGGTAGATTTTGCAAACCTTTGAAGACTAACTGCTAGCCCAGGTTCACAAACCAATTTCTAATATAAACCCAATTTATGGAGGTTTCACACCTCTCTAGTCCCAATCTAGAAAAGCTGCAGCAGCGTTAAACATTCCCTCTGTTCTTACTGGCTGTTTATATCCTTATCTTTCATGAGAAAGGAGGAAAGGGATGTGCTTCATAATATTGCAGTGATGATGCATGCTGATGAGAATAAGACAATATTTGTTGCAAGCATAGGTAGTCTAGATTCCACACCTCTGATCTAAACATTTTTTCAGTACAAAGCTACTTGCTGGTATTTTAGGGTACACAATGATTGTTGGATTTGAGTACTTCAACACCAACCATCTATAAATCTGTATTCTTTTAAAAGTCTTTTTGCTTACCCTAAGAAATGAAAACAAATACAATAAAATTCAACATCTAAGGTTTGTTATTTTTTCTACTAACATAGTATACATTATAACAGAGATACGAAACATATTCCAAGGCTGATCAGACTAATGTCTTGTAGACATGGATATTCAAGTATGAAAGTATTTGAAGTGTCTAACCCAGTTCATGCCATATCAAGGATAAAAACATTTAAATAAATCCTATTATGTCAACTATAGTAATAATGAGCAACTACAGGTGTAATAAAGTTTAAGGCTAACCTTTTCAAACCAAGCTGCTGAAAGTTAAACTAAATTCATGCTTGGGCTCGTAAATAAAAGTGGTCTTCTCTTCAGAGGTGCTGAACACCTGCAGCTTGTACTGACTTCAGTGAGAACTGCAAAGGCTCAGAACTTGAGCTAGCTGGGAAAATGGGGAGTGTTTTCCCCCAATGGAAAATTTTGATTAAATGAGATTTGTTTTCTTACAACATTTCCATAGAAAAACTAGTATTTCTGATGAAAACTGAAATATTTTGATTTGGAAATACCAATGCTGTGCCTCATGCTCCCATTCTCAATAAGTCAAGCTCCCTGGTTGGACTACATTTCCCATGATGCACCACATTGTTCTAGGTGAGAAGAGGCAGTCCATCATGGGGGTAGAACAGCAGTTCTCAAACTTTAGCAATGCGAGGACCACCATTTTGATTTAAAAATTTCCAGGGACCCCCAAGCCCCCACCCCCACTCAGCGCTTGCCCCACCCATTCTGCAAGGCCCCACCCCCAGCTCACTCCATCTCCCCCCCTCCCCGTTGCTCACTTTCCCCCCACCCTCACTCACTCTCACCAGGCTGGGGCAGGAGGTTGGGGTACAGGAGGGGGTGCAGGCTCTGGGAGGGAGTTTGGGTGTGGGAAGGGGTGCGGGCTCTGGCTGGGTGGGGCTTACCTTGGGTGGTTCTCGAAAGTGACTGGCGCATCCCTCTGGCAGCGGCTCCTAGGCGGGGGGGCCAGGCAGCTCCATGCACTGCCCCTGTCTGCAGGCCTTGCCCCCCCCCCAGCTCACATTGGCCGCAGTTCCCAGCCAATGGGAGCTGAGAAGTTGGCTCTCAGGGCAGAGGCAGTGCACAAAGACCCCCAGACCCTCCACCCTAGGGGCCGCGGGGACATGCCAGCCATTTTCAGGAGCGGCGTGGAGCCAGGGCATGTAGGGAGCCTGCCTTAGTCCCGCTGCGCCGCCCCATCTCCTGAGCATGCTCCATCCCTGCTCCTTCCCCTCCCTCCCAGTGCCTCCTGCAGACCTGGGAACAGCTGGGGAGGAGGAGGAGTTGATCAGCGGGGCCCGCAGACTCCCAGGAGTGCCCTTGGGCACCCCGAGGGATCCATGGACCCCAGTTTGAGAAACACTGGTGTAGAACGTCATTAGGGTTACCATACGTCCGGATTTTCCCGGACATGTCTGGCTTTTGGGGCATTAAATCCCCGTCCGGGGGGAAATCCCCAAAAAGCCGAACATGTCCGGGAAAATAGGGAGGAGCCGGCGCCGCTGGGTGCTGGGCTGGGGCCGGGGGTGCTGGGCCGAGGGTGCTGGGCCCGGGGCCGGGCCC